TTTTTTTTTTAATTTTCTTTAAATCCAATTTCGTTTTTGTTTTTTTTTAAATCCTAAACAAAGTCGGATTCAAAAACAAAAAATATGGAGTTGTAGGGCTTAAAATTCCCTACAACCCCATATATATATATATATATATTTTACCTATTATTTAATTCAGGAAAATTCGTGTAAAATCGGGTCTGCGGTGCGGACCAGGTAGGCCGCAGATGCGGACCCATTTAGGTCCGCGATCCGAGCTCGACCCCGCGGACGCGCCCGCGGGTGTTTCGTTGCTGCATTGGCTTGTTGCCATACTTGCGGTGCGTGATGACTTGGTCAACTTCCTGATGTCCGTCCATAGAAGGCGGATCCTGTGATCGACGGTCGGGGAACTCGTCGGCGGAAGGTGGCGTGTAGATGGCCAGCTTCGACGCGTGGAAGATCCGGTGCATTGTAAGGTGCGGAGGAATGTTGACCACAAAGGAAGGACCTGCGGGGTCGTCTCCAACGGCAGAAGTGACTTCCCATGGTCCGAACCATTTCGGAAGGAGTTTGCGCGAAACGTCCTGCCTCAGTGCAAATTCCTTGGAGAGGACCCAAACAAGGTCTCCCTCGCGGAAAGGACATGGAAGTCGACGTCGGTTAGCTTGCTGCTGCATGCGGATTTGAGCCTTTTGCATGTTTGCGCGGGCTTTGATCAGCAAGTCCCGGTACTTCCGAACGGAAGCGGGAGAGCAAGGGACGTGTATGTCGGCGGCCTGTGGCAAAAGGAGATCAGCGAAGATCCGTGCTTTCTCTCTACCATGATGTAACTCGAATGGTGTGACGCAGATCGCCCGGTGCACCGAAGTGTTATAGACGAACTCGATGTCGGAAAGCCGGTCAACCCAATCTTTCTGGTCGGGACGAACGAGCGTACGCAACATCATCTGCGCGGTCTGGTGTGCTCGCTCCGTCTGACCATCCGTCTGCGGGTGCCGAGCCGAGCTCGGCTTCATTGTCGTACCGGACTCACCCATGAGGGAAGTCCAAAAGGCCGACATGAAGCGAGTATCTCGGTCGCTCACTATGTCTTCCGGAACACCCTGGTTGGTAATCCAACCGGTGTGCAAGAGTCGTGCGAGCTCAGGTACTGCAGCATGATACTTGCAAGGAAGGAAGCGAGCATACTTGCTCAAACGGTCAACGACCGTGAGAATACCGTCATGGCCGTGGCGATCGCGGGGGAACGGGCCTGTCACGTCCATAGCAATGGAGAGGCGCGGTGCCCGAGGAATCGGCAACGATTTCAGTTCGCCGAAGGGGACTCGAGATCGACCCTTGTTACGGTGGCAAACTGCACATGACTCAATGTACCTCGTGACGTCATGAAGGACGTCGGGCCAGTAAAAACGCTGGAGGAGGCGTGCTAGTGTGCGGTTCACGCCAAGGTGTGCCGAAAGTCGTGCGTCGTGGAATTCGCCGAGAAGACGAGTCCGTAAGATGCGATCTTGAGGCACTACTAACAAGTCCTTTCCTCTCGAGTGAAGGAGAAGGACCCCGTCGAAAATCCGATAGTGGCTAGCCGGCAGGTGATCCGATGAAAGTTCGGCGTAATGCATAGAGTAAGTCGGATCGGACTTGTAGCCTTTGACGAAATGCGGCTGCAGATCGTCATCGAGGTCGAATGCCGTGGTCACAATGGCACAAAAATCGGGCCGTCGTGAGAGGGCGTCCGCAGCTCGATTGGCGGGACCGGGAATGTGGCATAGGTCAAAGTCGAACTGATCGATGTAATACATCCATCGACCGATCGTGCTAGTGTCCGTATCCTGTGTTTTGTAAAAGGTCAACGGATTGTTGTCCGTATTCCATTTAAAACGCCGACGGCCGAGAAGAAAGTGGCGCCACCGTTTGAGAACGGTGACGAACGCGAGTAGCTCTTTCTGCCTAGCGTCGTCGAGAGTGTTGACGAGAGGCACCTTTTGGGAGAAATTCTCGACCGGATGCCAACCGTCCTCGTGACACTGTTCCAACACCGCACCAATACCGTATCCCGAAGCGTTCGTAGTCACTTGGGTGGGAAGGGTGGGGTCGTATATACGGAGGGCAGGTGCGGCTTGCATCGCTGCCTTCAACGTACTGAACGCGCCACGGGCTGCGTCGTCGAACTCGAAGAGCACCTTCGGGGACTGAAGTCTCCACAAAGGAGCGGCCATTTTCGAGTATGACTAGACGAATCGCTGATAATATCCAGCCAAACCCATGAAAGAGCATACATCCGTCGTGCAACGGGGTTCCGGCCAATCCACGATGGCTTGGATCTTGTCCGCTAAGGGACGAATGCCTTTCGGCGTAACATAGTGGCCCAAGTACTCAAGCTCCTGCTTGGCGAACTCGCACTTGTCGAGGTGCGCTTTGTACTTGGCCAGTCGCAAACGATCCAAAACAGCGCGTAGGTGTACGATGTGCTCGTCCAACGTCCTACTATAGACCAAGATGTCATCGAGGTAGATGAGGACGCTGCGATCGAGCAAGTCGCAAAACTCAGTCGTCATAGCTGCTTGGAAAGTCGCGGGGGCATTGGTGAGGCCAAATGGCATGATAACCCACTCAAAATGTCCGTACCGCGTTTTGAACGCGGTTTTGTACCAATCTTGAGGCTGAATTTCAATCTGGTGGTAACCTGACTTCAAATCCAACTTCGAGAAGTAAGTCGCGCCGCCTGACCGCTCAAGGAGATCATCAATCCGAGGGAGAGGGCCGGCGTTCTTTACGGTTTGTGCGTTAGGTTTGCGATAATCGATGCATAACCGTCGATCTTTGTTCTTCTTCCGGACGAAGAGAACAGGGGCACCGTAGGGCGAACAACTAGGGTGAATTCAACCCTTGTCGAGAAGGTCATCGAGTTGTATGCGAAGCACCTCGAGTTCCTCTTCGCTCAAACGGTAGATACATCCATGCGGAGGGACGACGCCAGCCTCGAGAGTGATCCCGTGACGTATGGGCCGATCTGGTGGAAGCCTCGAAGACGTCTCTATACTCGTCCAAAAGGTGAGAAATGCGTGGGTCCGGCGGTGACGCGGCTGGTCTATCCGGCGAGGGAAGAGCATGCAAGAATACAAGGCCCATCTCCTCGACGTCATTCCGAGCTATGGCGTCGCGAATTCTCGCAACGGAAACAACGTGACAAGCAATCGAAGTGTGAGGGGTCGCGACCGTACATGGGACTAACACTCCGTTCTGATCACGGATGTGAACGGTTCGGTCATAAAAGTTCACCGGATGATCGGCGCTACGCAACCAAGACATGCCTAGAATCATGTCGAACTTGGTGTCGAGGATGTCAAAAGACACCGGCTCGCACGCAAGTGGCGCAAAGTATACCGGAACGCCGTCGACGCATCAGTCAATCGACTTTTGCGTGAGGCAGTCCGCGAGTGTAACTTGCGTGGGTTGCGTCTTCCTTCGAACGCGCGGGTCAAGGCCTGCGCGGGCCATAAAGGCTTGGCTCATAAAGTTGCGAGACGCTCTGCAATCAATCAAGGCACTACAGGTTGCCTTTCCGATTTGAATGTGGATATAGAGCAAAGGAGCGTCGGTTTCGGCGTACCTTTGGGTGGCGTACTCGCGGTCAATCGTCGCAAGATAGGAGCGGAAATCGACAACCGCTACCCCGTCGTCCGTCAACGGAGCTGGTACTGTAGTGTGCAAATAGGAGCGTAGTTTTGCCATCAAGGCGTTGCAATGCGGCCTTGGCAAGGTTCCGGTCGAGGGTAGAGGCATCCAAGCGAAGTCCTCTCTCGTGAGCGGGTCAAGCTCCTCAAGTCTTGACCACGTCGTCGAGTCCTCGAAAATCAGTGGCGAATTGGCCGGATCACTTGCCGACGGTGTACAGGCTGCGCATACACAATCTAAGTGCACGTGGCTCGGCTGGTCTAGTGGTGGTACCAGCTGGGCGGCATAATCCTCGTACGTAGCACGAGAATCAGCGACTAACGCATGCTCCCCGGTAGTGACATCGATTGCTAGCAAGGCAACCGGGTCCGGCGGAGTGAGGAGAGACGTCGCCCCTCTCCTTGCGTAACTCAGTTTCCCGAGTTAGCTAGACGGGGTATGCGTGCCTTGCCCTTTTCGGGGCATTGTGCGGTCAAGTGAGTGACTCCATTGCACCAAAGGCAATATCCGTACCGTTGACGAAGGTCATAGACTTCCTTGGTTATCTTGCATGCCGTCCATGGCTGCTTCCCAGTTCCCGTCGATGTCGTCTCTTGTGTCGCCTTGTTCTTCCGAACTCTCTTGGGACGCTTCGGCGGGAGCGCTGCTACAATTCCTCCATCACTCGAGGATGCTGCTGCAGCGTGAAGATCGACTATTTCTTCAGAAATCATGGCATTGTTATGTGCCGGTCGTTGATAGCCCTGCTTAGCCACATAATGCGGCTGGGACTGCCGTTCGTTTGCGGCCTTGTCATCCGTTTGGATGACCAAGTTCGCACGATCCAGGATCGCCTGGAATGAGGCGTAATCGTACTCGTTGCCGAGTGCGGTTCGCAGTCCTGCGCACGATCGCGAGAAGAACTCGGATCGTTGGTTAGGAAAACTCAAATCGAAGCCTGGCGTGGTCACTATCTTTTGCCACTTGGTTGTCCAGTCTCGAGTTGGCATACTCCCTTGCGAGCAGGTGTATACCTCGTTCATGGCCGCCTTCACGACGTTGCGGACCATGAAGCGAGTGAACCACAGTTGCTCGAACTCCTTCCACGTGATGTGCGTGTGGAGTTCGACGATGGTGCATTTCTTGGTAGCCGCCAGATGGTTCATCCATGCCTGCGCTCCTCCAATCAGTTGTAAGTAGAGCGCCTTCATCATGTCGTCAGCCGGGACAGTGCGGCATGATGCTTCTGTGAGGAAACTTTGCCACCATGTCAAGGCGTCCGTCTTATTGAAGTCGTCGAACTTGCTGATGTCGAAGTGCGGCATCTTGTAATTCTTTGTAGCGGGATCCGGTCTTGTCTGCAGTTTGGTGATGCTCGTCTTGATGGCGGCCACCGTGCTGCTGATCGTGGCCGGACTAGCGAAATCACCTAGTTCGCCAATGATAGTGACGACGTGATCGATGCGCTCGTTGAGCTACTTCGTCGCGTCTGTCGTGCAGCCTGGCGCTGCTGAGGCCTTAGCCTCAATGCTGTTGATGCGTGCGAGAGTGGAGTTCAAGAGCTGTTGCCGTTGCTGCTGTTGTGTTGTTGCGGCGCGGCTGCCTCATTGGCCAGCCGCTGACGTTCTGCTTTTGCTGCCTCCTGCTGAGCCTTGGCGGTAGCTACGGCATCCGTGAATACCTGTAGCCGCCCAAGGTAGTCAGCCAACGGTTCAAGGGTCCCTTGGACCGGACATGCGGGAAGAACTCCGGTGGTAACCAGTACTGTCAGTGTTGTACTCGATGCCGCTCGAGTCGTCCGGTTGCTGACTCGCTGTTGCTAATACTTGGTTCGTGGAGGTACCACAGAATGGCTACGAATTGCAAGCCTGGCACTGCGGCGTGGCAGTGCCCCGGTGTCTTGTTCCGTCGACATCAGCTCTAGCTGATGTGGTACTTGAGAAATCCTGGTGGTCACAGATTACGGGGAGGGTAGGGAGAGTGGGAACAGGGATAGAACAATCAAGCACTTCGCATACAGTCCCTGTCCCACTGATGGACTTTAGACACCTAATCAAACAATAAAAGATAAATTTTCCCGTAAACAACTCAAAAATTCGTAATAAGAAAATAATAACGAATTATTTAATCAATAAAGTTTAATTAATGATTAATAACGAATTAATAATTCTTAATAATCAACAATAATTGCAATCATGATAATTAATGAATTTCAATTGTAACAAGATTAGGCATCCGTTGAGATCTTCTAAGGTCCGGGAGTTCACCGTTAATTAGTGAACTACCCGGAAGCTGCAATTCTGAGGGTAAAGATTCGGGTCAGGTTGCCCCCAAAAAAAAATTCGAAAATGAGGGAGAAAAACACTCGAATTTCTGAAAACGTGAGATTTCGGGAATTTCAACCTACAAAATCCGATTTTTAAAAGGCCTAGGTCCGTTTTCGGAATTTCTCAAACTTAGGGAAAGAAAAAAAAATTCGCGAAAATTTCGTATCCAACCCTAATTTTCCGCGATTCCACGGAATTTCCGGTATTACGGATCAAAACGTTCGAATTTCCCAAGTTGATCGAAAAAACGAACATCTTCGTAACCCTAATTTCCAATACCGAAATAAAACGGAAATACTGAATTGCAAAAACGAAATAATGGATCAAAATCAGAATGCCGAATTAAAACCGGAATACCGAATGGAAATCAGAATGCCGAATTAAACAGAATACTGATTTAACCTAATAACGAATTTGAATCAGAAATCCGAATTAAACAGCATATCGGATTACCCATAATACCAATTTATCGGGAATCGAATTAAACAGAATACCGATGGAAAACAGAATTCCGATTTGAAAGTCAGAATACCGAATCGAAACGGAATGCCGAATCAAACAAAATACCGAAAAAAGAAAAATTTGCAACTTTGAATCTCGATAGTAATACAGAGCTGATTGGGAAGATCGAAGAAGCAATCTATATTCCTAATCAGGCTAACCTTGTGAGCAGATCCGTGAAATGGTCTGCTCCGATACCAAAGCTGTTACATACTCGTGAATGCGTCAACGAGTATGGGGCAGAACCAAAGATCAACCAATATAGGAAGAGCATGTATGCAGCGGAAGTCTGATAAACGGACTGACTCACATAGACTGACTCACACAGATATCACTCCACACACATACAATCGTGAGATGGTGGGGTCTGAGCCATGCATAGATGATGCTCAGGCCCCGTACACACATACACAGATGAAAGGTGGGAGGAGAGACGAAGGAGGTGGGGGAGGTAGACAGCACCGAAGGTCACCGAGATAGAATCCGATAGGTCACCGATATGGTAGTCCAAAATGTCATCAAACAAGATCAAAATGTCGAGGACACTAAGTCACCAATSTYGGAGATACAGAGTCCTAATGTAAACGGTGTCCGAACTGTGATGCCGCCGAGTATCAACCCCAACAATCTCCAAGTCTCGAATCCGGTAAGTACCACAGCCTCTTACCACCGAAGTCCAACACTGATCTCTGTCCAACTAGTATGAAGTCTCCAATCTGAAGGAGAAGAAGAAGAAGACTGAAGAAGAAGAAGAAGAAGTCTAAGAAGAAGAAGTAGTCTGAAGAAGAAGAAGAAGAAGTCTGAAATCTGAAGAAGAAGAAGAAGAAGTCTGAAATCTGAAGAAGAAGAAGAAGAAGTCTGAAGAAGAAGAAGAAGAGATGAGATGGCAGAGGAGGAGGGAGTGAGAGAGGGGGACAGGTGACGAGGAGGGAGGAGGAGAACCTCGCCTCCTGTACCTCAGGCGGCTATGGCCGCCGTGCTACGAAGTCGCCGCTGCCGCTGCTCCTCGCGCTGCGCTAACTCCTGGTGCCAACCGAAACGCACCAGCAGAATGCTGGTGGCTCGATCCCTCAGAATGAGGCCGGACCGGTCTTTTGTACCGGTGGGGCAGAGGCCGGCCTCAATGCTGCGAGGCCTGGCCGTGCCCTGAACCGTCGAGATTGACGGTTCAGCCCCAACCGGCGGGCGGCAGCCTCAAGAGTGCCGCCAGGCCCAAACGGTAATGTTGTTTGGGCCTGCCCGTCGGGTCTGGTCCCAAAATGTGGCCTTTACGGCCTCTGTACCCCAAGTCCGGGCCTTTAGGCCCTACTGTGTCCTCCTGGCCCTAAGTCGGGTCCGGTAGGACCCGTGTGGCGTCGAAGATGTAACACTAGGATTCCAACGGACTGGCATCCAATCAAATAACATTCAGAATAACTGCAATAACAGCATCACTAGGTAGGCAACCTGAGCTTCTCGAGGGGATGTGATGAGGTTAGACATTGGGTAGGGAGGGGCCATTAGACACTGCGCGTGATATCTAGGCTATAGCTCGACTCACATCCCAGGGGCCCAGGTCATAACAACAATACTGATTGGGGGACACACAGGAGAGTCTGAACCCCCTCAGGAAAGGACAGCAGTCGCACGTTCACACCTAGCTCCCCAAGAACCCGTGCAACAGGGCTTGCATGGCGTCTGCTTCAACCAGGGCTGAGCGGGGAAGTAGGGGTCCCCCCGCTCAGCTCGGGTGCCTGCAACAGCAAGAACCTGTGCAACAGGTCTTGCACGGAGTCTGTTTCAACCAGGGCTGAGTGGGGAAGTAGGCGTCCCCCCGCTCAGCCCAGGTGCCTGCAACTGCTGTCTGGTCAGGTCACTTAGCCGAGTTGGTGGTGGTCCACACTAAGGTAGGACAGAGGGGGTGGGCATGCGCCAGGGTAATTGATCAGAGGAAGGGTGCAGGGGCGTCTTCTGAGGGGGGTTACAAAAAAAAAAAAAAAAAAAGGGAAAGCCTCAAATGCTTTTGTAATAACATATACTTCGGGTATTCCAACTGGTTCAGTTCAACGCAGAAAAGATTCAAGATCGGGGGTAAATCACCTGCGTTATATGTATTTGCCACCATTTAATGGATGGTGCCTATGACCGTGAGCATCCTCGACCTCACGGAACCCTGACTCCTGAAATGACGCAACGGGGCCGGGGAGAGAGAGAGAGAGAGAGAGAGAGAGAGAGAGAGAGAGAGAGAGAGAGAGAGAGAGAGAGAGAGAGAGAGATGATGTTCGTTAGGAAGACCAGACTCTGTTCCGATTTGGTGCACCTGCCCCAGGGCACACTTTTTCACTTGTTTATGTCAACTATGCCAGATATATGTGCTGTTCAAAGCCTATGTTGAGTTAGAAAGGGTATTGCACTCTCGCAGTGTCTGCCTTGTTGTTGCTGTCCGGAACTGGTGAAAAGTGGACACTGCAAATTATTGATCTGCAGGTTCAGTGTTCCCATCGTGTTCAATTCAATGACCTTTGAGGTTCACCCGCAAGTTGTTCTTCAAAACAAAACCATAAAATGATTCTCGATCTCACCTCGATGTTATGTAGACCGACAATGAAGAGAAAGCACCTACAAGTGTTGTGTTTATGCACACACGGGCAATTATTCTCCACCAGGTGCTGAAAGACTCGTCTGATGTCAAGATGATGGACCCTGTGTTGAAACCATAGAATCCTGTCCAAAGGATGAGAACACCAGCTGCAGCAAAAACCTACAGCAACAGAAAAAAGCAGCAACCCGACCCGCAGGAACATCAGAGCATAATACGCATGCGCTAGAAGAATAACTGGTCACCTTTCGTACCCCATGGTCCCTTTTCTTAACTTTTGCAATCAGACTCGCTCTCTTCTTCTCTTCGCATACATGCAAACAGATGGCAACTCACACTGGCGCCGAGCGCCCACTCAAAGCTCCTAGATCTGGAAGTCGAGAACACAGTTCAGATGCAAACTCACTTCAACAGGCTATGGCGCATCAGCGCCTGTACATCCCAACCCTCGTCACTGTGTCCAGCACCACTGTTCACACATACTCAACTCTGGATCACCCTGAATACCCCACATGCATTCACTGTATCACACACTCGTACACATACACTAACTCCTAACACTAGCTATGGCGGCTATGGCCGCTGGCTACTACTGCCTATGGACACTCCGCCTTTCTTCAGCCCACTTCCACTTCGGGCAACCTGCAGACCACCTCGCACAAGAGGCTGTGGCAGCGCTTCCACATGGCTTATGCAGCGAATGAATGAATGGCTGGGCGCTGCCTCTTGATTTATACTTCTGTAAGTCGTTGGTCTGCCCTTTTCCACTGGGCCCATGGTGTACACAGTCCCTCATGGTACTTGCTGACTGTGCAAAGTGAGACTGGGACCGGGTACCGCTGACTAAGCGAAGTTGGACTCACCACTTGCCCACTTGCCTCTGACTAAACGTGAGGAACCCTCGAAAGGCCACTTCCGGACCTTCCGGAAGTCTGTGGACTTGGCCTTTCGGGACTGTAGCAGATATGACCTTGACCTTTCAGGACTGTAGCAGCTACGACCTTGACCTTTCAGAAACGCTACAGCTACGGCCTCTACACAGCTATGACCCCTACTCGACAGACCTATAGATCGAACCCCTACAACTACACAGACCTACGACAGACAACAGCCAACTACCAAAACACAGGTCGCAGGTTCAAACACTAAGGGGTCAACTCGATATTGTACACGGTTAAGGTAATGTCTGGGGATTGAGCTTCTGGGGCTCGCATCTGTGACTGCAAAAGGGGAAAACCGTTTCACTCCCGCTGGCCTAAATTCGAGGTCCTCCGAGAAAACTTCAGTCTAAGGCAGGACCTTTTGCTTTCTTATCTCTTTCGTATGCTCGGACTACTTCGGAAGCTGTCTCTAGAAGTTCTGTTTGTGTAAACCAGCGGTCGTCCTCTGGTTCCTGAAAAGCGAACCTGACCTTATATTGTTTTTGTGGACGACCCCTACCTCCTGTTCTGAAGATATCTTCACCTACGATGCCGTCAATGTCGTACCTTCTGTCCATGTCCGGAGGAATCATGGATCTCCGAGATGGAAACTGTTGACTTGTGGTACAAGGCAACAACTTTGATGCATGAAACACCGGATAGGTGTGGAGGTGTGCTGGAATCTCGACTGTGTAGGACGGTCCATCCTCTCCGCCCTTGACTTCTTAGACTGACCACGGTCCCCGGGATGCAGGCAATAACTTTTGTGAGATGTTCTCCTCAGGAGCATACTCTTTGGACTTGACCTAGACTAAGTCGCCTATTTGAAACTGTGATGGGCAACGGTGCTTATTCGCTTGCTCTATCATTCTATGCTGGGCGTTCCTGAGGTTCTCTGTGACGGTAGCAATCTCCTTCCCGTAGTGTAGTGCAAACTCCCTAGTACCAGGAGGTAGCCTTTGAATCTGATCCCGGTTCAGTCCCTCAAACGGTCTACGTGGTCTAAAGGACTTATGTAACTCGTTGGGAGTGCGACACACGTCGCTAAGTGCACATTGTTATTGTATGCGCTGGCTACCTTGGGAAGCATCTCATCCCAGTTAAGCTGGTCAGGTCTAATATACATTCTGAGAACTTGCTGCAGGATTTTGTTCATTTGTTCAGTCTGACCGTTAGTCTCAGGGTGACGGCCAGATGACATTAACAACCTAGAGTCATAGACTCTCATCAACTCCTGCCAGTTCTGACTAGTGAACCTAGTATCTCTGTCACTAACTATTGACAATGGGAGACCATGTTCACTAACCCAATGATCGAAGAACTTGTCTATAACTAAATCTGTTCGTGCCTCTGCGGGTAAAGGAACAAAAACTGGATATTTACCAAATCAATCAACTATAACCATGACTTGGCTCTTGACCCCAGCATCCATAAAGTATATGGACACCGAATCTCCGGGTCCTGTGCGAATCGGTAAGGGTTTGAGAAGACCGAGAGGGGCCCGCGTAGTGGTCTTATTCCGCTGGCAGACTTTGCAACTGCGTACATACTCTATGCAGTCGGCTCTCATCCCTGGCCAAGTATACGCGTGCATGAGGTTGGCTAATGTCTTTTGCCAACCAAAATGTCCCTTTGTGTCGTGACATTCCCCTAGGATCAAACTACGGATCTCTTCACTGTCGGGTACGCACAATCGGTCAGCTACAGTGGTCTTCTCAAATAGTAACCCATCTGTAGTAAGGTAATCTGGCTCAGACTCTGGTGACTCCTTAACTCTCTCGAGGAGATCATTGTAAATAGGGTCCTGCGCATATGCCTCTTTGACTTTCTGTTGCAGGTCTCTCCCTATATCCAGATAGTGAACTATTGCTCCATACTAATCAGCTCTTCTTCTCAGAGCATCCGCGACTAAATTATACTTCCCTTTAATCGGCTTAAGCTCAAAGTCAACTTGATCTATCTCTGCGGCCCACCTTGTAAGCTTAGGTGTCATCTTGGCCTGTGTCTTCAACCACCTCAGTGTCTCGTGGTCTGAATAGACTTTGAAGTGCCTCCCAAGCAAGTAGTGCTTCCAGTGCTCTAGCGCTTGCCTGAGAGCGTAGAGTTTCCTCTCATAGGTAGATGTCGCTACCTTCTCTGAAGGCATCCTAGCAGACATGAACCCTACGGGCCTATACCCATTGCCATCATCTTGTTGTAAAACAACACCTATGTCGTACTGACTTGCGTTAGTGGTGACAACAAAAGGTAAGGATGGATCAACTATCTTGAGGAGTGGATACTCTATCAAGGCCCACTTTAACTTCTTCAGGGCCGATGTACAGTCTTTGTCACACTTCCAGATTGCCTCTTTCTTTAGCAACCTGCGAAGAGGAGCGGCGATAGTGGAGAAATTTCTCACAAATTTCCTATAATAGTTGGCTAGGCCTAGGAACGACTGCAACTCTGTGAATGTGCAGGGTGTTGGCCAATCTCTGATCGCCGCTATTTTGTTGTCCTCAGGTTGAATGCCATCTCCATCTAAGACGTGGCCCAAGTACAGGACTTGTGTCTTGGCCCACTCACACTTCTTCGCGTTAATCTTGAAGTTAGCCTCCCTCAGCTTCTCCAAGACCTGCCTCAGATAGCCCTCATGCTCCTCGAGGGTCTTGCTAAAAACTAGAATACCATCTAAGTACACTACAACGAATCTATCTAACCAAGGCCTAAACAAATCATTCATACAACGCTGGAATGTTGTTGACGCATTGGTTAGTCCAAAGGGCATCACTATGAACTCATAATGCCCATATCTCGTCCGGAACGCTGTCTTGTGCTGGTCATCAGGATGGACTTCTATTTGATGATAACCAGATTTCCGGTCTATCTTAGAAAAATATTTGCAGCCCTGCACCCGATCTAAGATATCATCTATATGGGGCAGTGGCTCTGCATTCTTTACTGTGACGGCGTTGAGACCTATATAGTCTATGCACATTCTAAGCTCTCCCTCCTTTTTGGGGACAAAAAGAACAAGTGCTCCAAATGGAGATGAGCTAGGCCTAATCCAACCCTTCTCGAGGAGCTCGTCCAACTGCTTGCGCAGCTCCTCTAACTCCCTTGGGGACATTCTATAAATGGCTCCCTTAGGAGTCCTATTGCCAGGCTCTATCTCTATGTGATGTTGGATCAGCCGCGACACTACTCCTGTAGGCGGCTTAGCTAAGTCTGTATACTCCTCCAGCAGCTTGGCAATAGCAGGATCTATGGGTTTTTCTTCTTTAGGGTCAGTGATAGGCCTAACATAGGCTACAAAAACCTGCTCTTTTACATGTTCCTTCTTTACTAAACGTGCGAACGCGGGAGCATTGAGACAACAATGTGCCAGAGAGTTGTCTACTCCTGACACATGAAACAGACGAGTAGTCTTAACTTCACCTGATGGACTAGGGAGCCTACACTTGTGCGCTCTCAAGTGGAGTGTGGCCCCTTCTGCCTCTCCCCGGTCCATTCCTAGGACCATGCCGAAAGGAAGGCTGTCCTCTACGAGAAGAGTCAGGGAATGAAGCACTTTTTCCACCTTCCCATCCTTCTTTAGGCAAACGTACGCTTGGACTCCCTCAACGTAATCCTTGACTCGCATAGTGCGATTGTCTGCAAGGATATTGACTACGGGGTCTTCTAATTTTTGGACCTTCATATTTAATTTCAGCTTTTGCAGTGCTTTCCTACTAATATAGCTGCGAGAGGCCCTATTGTGTATAAGGGCCCCTACTCTTCCTCCAAAGACCTCTACATCTACTAAAACTAGTTGTCCTTTCGCATCTTTCTTCATTTTGGCCCAGGCAGGCATTCTCTCTTTCAATTCCTCTGCCACGCCTGTGAGGGAAGTGCCTATAGAGACTCTAAGGCAAGCAGTCTCTAGACAGCGATCTAGGCACTAGCCAGCAACCTCTGCCATAGACGCATGTGGTTTGGGAATATTTATATGGTGCGCACACTCTTCTCCACATGGTTTAGGGATAGGGGCAGTTGCAACCCCTATCGGCGGTTGCCTTTTGCTGCCTGTGCAGCAAATCGGACCTCTCTGTACTTAGGGCAGTATTTAATAATATGACCAAGATCACCGCAATAAATACACTGATCCTGATCGATCCTCCTCTGCCAAACTGTCTGTTTTAGGCCCAAATCTTCCCACGGCCTACACTGTGGTAGACCAGGGTGCCATCCACCCCTCCTAGGTGATCGATTGAAACTAGGGCGCTTGGCGGCCTCCTCTACCACCAACCCCCTGATCGCCCTGTCCTTGACCACTGGAAGCCTGGCCCCCTTGGCCCCGGCCTCCTCCTCTACCCTGCGGCCTCCCCCCAGCTGCGACAGCAGCGTAAGTCCTCCCCTGACTATCGCCACTGTCATCCATCTCCAGGCCCCACTCTATCTGGTTGTAAGGGACCTGTTCCATACCACCCTCATCTAACGTAAGGATCAAGTGATTCTTGCCCTTAACATGTCCTGAGATGGTACGACCTTTCCACTTCTTGCCCTTATCGAAGTCCTTGTGCCAGAAAGTGGAAACCGACATGGACTGCGCCTCATACGCTACCACTTCCCTACTCAGGGTATCGTAGGTCATGGTAAGCTCCCTACTCTTCTCAAAGAAGTGCCCGCGCAAAGGCTCAGGCATGGCACGATAAAATAGGTTGACTAACTGGGTCTCAGTGACCCCATGATCAGGAACAGCGACCAACTCATCCATGACACCCTTGAGTGCCCTTGCACTCCTCCATTGGCGAGAATGAATGGTTTGCAGTTTGTCAGAAGCTCTAACGCTTTGTGTGACATCTACAAACCTTTCGCGCAATAATTTGAAAATCTCACCGAGAGGGGTGATTGCAGAATAGGCAACCATATTGTTATCGCACTTGGCAACGTGACAAAGCGATCGGGCGAAGCTCGCTGCTTCGGCCTTGAGCGCATGGAAGGCTATGAGAACATGTTCATCAGGAGATATCTTTTGAAAATGCATGTAGGAGTTCACATTCGCCTCCCAGTTATTGAAGTTCTCCTCCTCCTTCCCACTGTAGGAATCAGGGAACTTCACTTTAACAGGCTCCCTACGGGGACGAGCTTCTTCCTCTCTTGGTGCAGCCAACTTTGCGCCTTCTATGGCGCATGTGCAGAATTGCTCTGTGTCCTCTAACCTCGCCTGTACTTCTGAGCCCATGTGCATTAACATTTTGCGTGCGAACTCCCTAAACCCCAATCGTATCAATCGCACGGCTATATCCTGACTCCTCCCAAATTGGTATTGCTCCTCCTGAGCCTGCGCCAGGCGTTCTATGTTCCTCGCCATCACCTCCATCTTTCCTTGCCAATCCGCCTGTGCCTCCATCTGCGCTCTTTGTTGTTTCACCTCCTCGAGTTCTTTTGCCGCCTTACTTGCCACCTCCATCCTCTTCTTCTTTTCTCTGGTCAGACTTAACTTCCACACCGACTTCTTCTCCTCCTCTATCGTCTGTCGTTTCAGAGGATCTTTCCACGGCTTTCCATCCCCTAACGACCGCCTCCTGTTCTTCCCTGGGGACATATAACATCGCCGCCTCCTCTTCTCCCAGAGATAGATTAGCAACCCATTCAGAAACCTTCTTCTTAGGCCAAGAATCCTCTTTCTTTGTGCCACTTGTCTCTCCTCTTTCCCTGATACTTCTTCTAATCAGGGGCACTTCTTCTTCCACCTTTTTCTCTTCTTCTTCTTCTTCTTCTGTATCCACTGCTTTCAACTTTTCTTCCTCTTCCTTCTTTACCCTTTCCAACTCCTCCTCCAACTTCTTTCTTTTTGCAGCCTGCTCTTGCAACTTGGCTAACTATTTGGCCTGCTTCACAAGCTCTTTCTTCTCCTTTCTGGCCTTCTGCTCAGCCAATACTCTCGTAGCCTCCTCCTCCTGCTCCGGGGTGTAGGGAGTGGTACTAGTGCCACCCTTCGTTTCTACTCTACACGCCATCGTGTTCCAGAATCCCGGAGAAAAGAGAAGACGCCAGAGGGTCCCCCAAAGGGAGAACCCCATGAGCAAGCCATACATAGGGTAATCGTCCACGATGTCATCTGCACGGCAGGGACTGTCCCACTTCTCACCACTTAGACCTACCCACTAGACTGACTGATTGTCTGTCTAAGGACCACAGGATCCAGATAGGACCCTATCAACTATGGTCACTACCCTGAACCTAATACTATGGTTGTCACTACAGGACTCAATGCTGATCAGGACGCATTTAGGGAGATCCCCTGTAACTCCTCAGGAATTATTTAACGTCGCAGACAGGACAACGCGATCAACAAGTCCTCTCAAGGCTTAGACAGCTTGTTGTGCAGCCCACAACTTGGATTTTGGGCCTACCATGCCACACTGAGCAGCCCGCCAGTCAGTACCGGTCCTTGGGAGGGTTTGTCCTCCAGGTCAGCCAGTCGTCAGACACGGCCTTTAGCCCTACTCAGTCCGTGTGGGTTTGGTCAACAAAGCTCTACGATATCATACACAGAGTTCCTAACACCTGGACAAAAGAGATTCAATGCAGAAAGAAGAGACAGATAGACTGAGCAAGTACCATGGGGTGAGTGCACATCCATAGGGCGAGGGGACAGGCTGAAGGCTTGGCGAGAATATACCGGCTCCAGCTTGGTCAATTTCGTGGTCAGCAGCTTCGGTCAACACCTTGGTCAATGCCCAAGTCAACCCCGGTCAGCCCCTTGGTCAACACCCAAGTCAACCTCTGTCAACTCCTTGGTCAATGCCCAAGTCAACTTCGGTGAACCCCTTGGTCAACACCCAAGTCAACCTCTGTCAACTCCTTGGTCAACGCCCAAGTCAACTTCGATCAACTCCTTGGTCAACGCCTTAGTCATCGATCAATTCGGCTATGGCTGCCGACACTCTCTCCCTCACCAACCCTCGCTTCTCTTTTTCCCTCCTTTCTTTTTCCTCGCTCCTTTTTCTCCTCACCCCGGCAATGTCTTTATTTTCCCTTCTTCGTCTCTCCCTTCTCCTTTCTCAGCTATGGCTTCTCCCTCCTTCGTTTCTCGTCCCTTCTCCTCTACTTACCTTCTTCCTACTTGGTAACCCTGTGTCCGAGCTTCGGCGGTTATGCACCACCTCCTGTCTTGGACTGCACAAACAGAGCTTCGGCGGTTATGGCCGCCACCTCCTGTCTTGGACCGCACAAACAATCTTGAATCGCTCCTCTCTCTCTCTCTCTCTCTCTCTCTCTCTCTCTCTCTCTCTCTCTCTCTCTCTCTCTCTCTTCGTCGTTGTCTTCTTTGCAGGTACGCAACACTTTCTTCTGCGGCGCAGCTATGGCAGACCTTCCTCCTTCACTGGTGCGGCTCCAACTCTGGCGCCCAACTGGCGCGTGCCTCCTTCCTGCTGGCAACGACGATGGCGCGTGGAATAGCGGGAACCAGCTCCGATACCAATGCAATCAGACTTGCTCTTTTCTCCTCTTCGCATACATGCAAATAGATGGCAACTCACACTGGCGCCAAGCGCCCACTCAAAGCTCATAGATCTGGAAGTCGAGAACACAGTTCAGATGCAAACTCACTTCAACAGGCTATGGAGCATCAGCGCCTGTACATCCCAACCCTCGTCACTGTGTCCAACACCACTGTTCGCACATACTCCACTCTGGATCACCCTGAATACCCCACACGCATTCAGTGTATCACACATACACTAACTCCTAACACTTGCTATGGCGGCTATGGCCGCCGGCTACTACTGCCTATGGACACTCTGCCTTTCTTCAGCCCACTTCCACTTTGGACAACCTGCAGACCACCTCGCACAAGATGCTGTGGCAACGTTTCCACATGGCTTACGCAGCGAATGAATGAATAGTTGGGTGCTGCCTCTTGATTTATACTTTTGTAAGTCGTTGGTCTGCCCTTTTCCACCAAGCCCATGGTGTACACAGTCCCTCATGGTACTTGCTGACTGTGCAAAGTGAGACTGGGACTGGGTACCGCTGACTAAGCGAAGTTGGACTCACCACTTGCCCACTTGCCTCTCACTAAAAGTGAGGAACCCTCGAAAGGCCACTTCCGGACGTTCCGGAAGTATGTGGACTTGGCCTTTCGGGACTGTAGCAGCTATGACCTTGACCTTTCAGGACTGTAGCAGCTACGACCTTGACCTTTCAGAAACGCTACAGCTACGACCTCTACACAGCTATGACCCCTACTTGACAGACCGACAGATCGAACCCCTACAACTACACATACCTACGACAGACAACAACCAAGTACCAAAACACAGGTCGTGGGTTCAAACACTCAAGGGTCAACTCGATACTGTACACGGTGTCGGGACTAGTGAGTCCCGAATGACTTCTCGTCACTCGAGAGACTGTATATGGCCGATTTGTGCACGACAGAGAAAATCGAAGGCAAGAAGGATGGGAGGATCAAGGCATAGGCACGGGCGCGAGGAATCTAGAGGCTGCTTGAAGTCGTCAGGACCCATGGATTAAGAAGAAATTGATGGAACAGGGGATGGCAGGGGATGGCAGAGGACCGCCAGAAAGCGGCAAAGGCGACCCTTCCTCCAGAACGAAGAAGGGCCGCAAGGAATAGTGATGACATAGGATGCACGCCTCAAAGAGAGAAGATAAGTGGGAAAGGATAGGACGTAAGGCGCCGGCATGGGAAAAGGTAGTCGGGCCAGGTGGGCCACTAGGACGCAGCGATGGGAGGGCCAAGGGGGCCACAGACCAAGAGAAGATGTGGTACCGGCGAGACAAAGTGCCGGGGACCACGTGAGACCAAGAAAAGATGTGGTGCCGGCGGGACAAAGTATCGGGGACCACGTGAAACCAAGAAAAGAGGTGGTGTCGGCAGGACAAAGTGTCGGGGACGACGTGAAACCAAGAAAAGATGTGGTGCCGGCGGGACAAAGTGTCGAGGACCACGTGAGACCAAGAAAAGATGTGGTGCCGGCGGGACAAAGTGTCGGGGACCACGTGAGACCAAGAAAAGAGGTGGTGCCGACGGGACAAAGTGTCGGGGACCATGTGAGACCAATAAAAGATGTGGTGCCGAGACAAAGTGTCGGGGACCACGTGAGACCAAGAAAAGATGTTGTGCCGGCGGAACAAAGCGTCAGGGACCGCGTGGGACCAAGAGAAAAACGCGGCACCCGTGCGACGAGTACCAGGGATCGCATGGGGCCAAGCAAAGATGCGACACCTATGGGACCGGTGTCGGGGACCACGTGAGGCTAGGCGGAAAATGCGGTACCAGTGGGACAAGTACTGGCGGGACTAGTGTCGGGGACTAGCGTCGGGGACTAGTGCGGGACAAGTGGTGGGGACCTGTGACGTCCCAAGGGAAAATGGCGGCATGGTAAGTGGTGCAAAAAAAATAAAACAAGCGGCCCGATCTTGACGACCAAAAATATTAGCACCACTAGTGCAAGCACTAGTGGGAGCTAGCGGGAGGGCCAAAAGAAAAATAAAGAGTAAAGAAGACAAGTGTCAGAGGCATGGGAGCAATCCGAAAAATCTCGGATTGACCTCCCCCAAGGAAAATGGAGCCGTAGGGGCTCCATGAGAAAAATAGGTCTCCCAGAGAAAATCGGAGTATGGGGGCCTGCCGTTTGGAAAAAAAAAGGGCAAACGGTAGCTCCCAAGGGCATGGAAGGGCCATGACTGAAGTCCGAAAAATAACGGACTGACCCTTGGGCATAGGAAGGGCCAAAACTAAGAGGAGGAGGCAAGAAAAGGGCCTTAACGGCTAGTTGACACTTGGCATGCAAAAAGAAAAAGAAAAAGAAAAAGAAAAATGAAGGAGAATAAGACAAGGAAGGTGAGAGGGAGTGAGTGAGTTGGCCGTTAATTGGGACTGCAGCAAGTAGGGATTGCCAAGTCCCAACTGACCAAGAAAGGAGGAAAAAAGAAAAGAAAAGAAAAG